AGTTAGGCAATGTCTATTATAACATTAAATACCATGGATGAAATCGAAAGAGCGGAAAATGATTAGGAATTAAGAAAAGCTTTACCAACAGGCCAACAGAACTAATATTTGGAAGAACTATAGACACCATCAAAGGGAATGCAAAAGAAACCTCAGGAGTGCAGAATGGGAGTACATTAACACCAACATTCTAAAAGGTCTCGAAAATAACAACAACAAACCGTTTTGGAAATATATCAAATCAAAAAAGCAAGACTCAATAGGAGTGGCCCCCCTAAAAAGCAAAGGTACTCTCATCAGTGACAGTCAATCAAAGGCGGATATATGAGTCCAACAATTTAAATCGGTATTCACCATCGACAAAGACAGGAACATTCCAGAAACAACAAAACGTGTACAGGAAACAATTCCGAAACTATACATAGATACAAACGGTGTTGCAAAACTACTCAGGAACTTAAACATATCAAAAGCTTCAGGACCAGATGGAATACCAAACAGAATCCTCAAAGAATGCGCGACAGAAATATCATTAGGACTCACAAAAATATTTCAAAAATCACATGACTCGGGAGAACTTCCAGCAGACTGGAGAAATGCCTACATCTCATGCATATTTAAAAAGGGAGACAAACACTTGGCGGAAAACTATCGCCCAGTGTCACTAACATCAGCCCCCTGCAAACTTCTGGAACACATCATCTGTCGACACATGCTAAAACAACTTGAAAAACATAAAGTACTCACCAATCTAAATCACGGCTTCATATCTGGTTATTCCTGTGAGACACAATTTCTCTTGACTATACATGACTTCTTAAAGGCACACGACAATGGAAACCAGTTGGATGTAGCAATACTAGACTTCTCCATAGCATTTGACACCGTGCCACACAAGAAACTCTTGCATAAAGTCGCGCAGTACGGCGTGCGAGGACAAGTGCACAGCTGGCTGACGTCATTCCTAACACAGAGGAAAATGAAGGTTGTACTTGGAGGCACAACGTCCTAGGAGGAACACGTCGCCTCCGGAGTACCTCAAGGTACGGTACTAGGACCACTCCTTTTCCTCTGCCACATAAATGACCTACCAGACTCAGTCAAATCACAAGCACGCCTTTTCGCCGACGACTGCCTTTTGTATCGACAAATCAAAACATTCAATGACCATAACATCCTCCAAAATGACCTACAAAACCTTGAAGAATGGGCAGATAAATGGCATGAAATTCAATGCCAAAAAATGCTACATCATGTCAATTAGGAAAAAGTCATCAAAATTCTACAGTCTAAATGTCCACATTTTGGAAGGGGTACAAAACAATCCATACCTAGGACTCAAGATATCAAACGAAGCATACAAGAACTTCTTCATCAAACATCGCTTGAGTGGAACCAGCTGGATGATACAGTAGTGTGCGCAGAAAGCGTAGAGGGATTTAGATCAGCCCTTTCAAAAAACACCCAAGATAAGTAACATATTCTCTCTCTCCCGTCGTGTCATGCCATTATTGGTAACTACGACGTATACAATTTAAATGTAAATAAATGTAAATGTATCGTTTTAAACAACAGCAAATTAAATTGCAAAAAACGGAATTCTATTGGTAGGGGAACTCCACACGTCAAATGGTCAGTGCTATATAATTAAGTTTCTAATATAATTGTTATTCAATAAACACAGTGTTATCCATGCTACTGCTTTTATATGTGGTGAAATTTGAAGTTATACAAGGGGAATTATCCCCCCGACACTTTTAACACAGTTGTTTTTTTTCTTCTCTTTTGCTTAACGATCCCCATCTTCCGTTTTTTTTGTAGAAGCTGATATATTTTCACTTCAGAAATTGTAGGAGCAGTATTTAGTAAGCTACACGAACGTGTTTATTATCTTAAATTTAGCAATAAAAGGTTGATGTCATTCAGCTCTGTGTTCTTTCTACCAAATCAGGAAGAATTTCAAGGTGTCTTCACAAGGACATATTGTTCGTGTTTTGAGCATATCTTTCAGTAGGATTTTATTACTTTCCTTTATTCCGAAACAAATGCACTATAGCTCCTCTCGTTTGTACATCAAGTGCTTCCGGAGTTTCACGTTATTTGTACCATTTTCATGTTGTATTGCTATATAGGATCCTGTGTACAAAATATGCTGTAGGTCTGGAATCATCCTTAGGAGCCATTTTATTGATTTCGATGAATTTGCTGTTCTCTGATGATACTATGTAGAATATCGTTTTCTTTTGACTGTTCCATTGTTTTTTATAGACAGTTTTGATAAGGACCTGAGAAAATGTATTTGTCCTTATGTCATATGTATTTTGTTAATTGATCAGTTTAAATGGAAAAATAAGTACATCTCTAATTTTGTTCTGCAAAGACTCCTTTTCAGTTTAGTTTACGAAATTCACGTTACTTTTCATGTGACAAATTGATTTGTATCCGATGTATAATAAAAAAAAAAAGTTTTGTACACCAGTGTTTGTGTAGAACAAAAATGGCTCTTTTAATCCTTTTTTTCCATGAAAATATCACCAAAGAACCCAATCTAGTTTGTCTGATGATAATAATATCCATGCTGTTCGGTTTTACTTCTTTATCGAAGACACCAAGACATCTTAAATTTTCTTATTTTATAATAGTATATGGCAGTTGGTTAGGAAGAACAGTAAATATCTGGATTAAAACATGCAATGCTATAGTTCGTGTAAATAACCTTTCCTATGTAAAAACGATTACAGAGAGACCAATTTTTAAGAAATACCTAACATATTTTAAATTTTAATTGCAGGTAATTTCCTTATTTCATTTCATTCTGACAGAAGCTCCAACTTGTTTTGATATATACTGTGAGAGATTTTTCAATGTTTATTCTAAAACCTGAAAAAAAATCAAGACTTGTTTCAGGATGCTTTAGGAGAATCAGAGACCAAAATGTTAACCCAAATGTGTGGTGGAAGGTATTCAAAGAAGGGATCAAATGACCATAAATAATGGTCTACACATCAGAACTCATGCATGGCTATGTGTATAATATAATCATTATGACTGAAAACTGACAGAAAAGAAGAACATATTTGTTCCAGTTTGAATGGAGTGAATATTTAATCAACAGAGAAGATGTTTGGAAAAGATTGGTTGGTTTATTTCTTTTCAAGATGGCCACTAAAACGTTCATTATACTGCCTTATAAGTTGTCAAGATACCCTAACAACTGTGTTTGTTTGTTGCTTTGTTTTTTTATATATATAGTTTAGCTAGACGCCCAATAAACAGCTGATGATATTAACAGATACATTTTTGTAAGATGCAAGATTATGGAAAGTGTTCGAAAGGTAGACTTAGAATGAAGAGAAAAATGATGCGAGGCTTTCAGTTTGTTCTCACAAGAAAAGAAACTTATTTCAAGATTTGTCGGAACTTCCTAGCCCTTGGATGCAACTGTTCTGGATTTTGAAGATTCCAATGATCTTTTATAAATTGGTCCTCGTATTGAGACATGCAGTCACACTCTTTAGTACTTCCTTATTTATAGCAATGAAGCAATTTGATATTAGTTGGGTTCTAACAAATGTCCGATGCTTAAGACGGCCATGATAAGACTCTACAATCCATCAGGATTTAGTAACTGTCCTGTCAATGTGAGCCTGGGTAGAGCTGTATGCTATGAATTTAAGATAATTACGCTTTTTCTGACCACAGTAATACGTTCTTTGAAGCTTATTTTCAGCACTTGATTTGAATGTAAATATATATACCATCTAGGATGGCAGTCACTCTGTCTCCAAGGAATGTTTCTGAGGATACAGTATTGTGTGAAAGTATCTGTTCCCTACTCAAATGGTGAACAGGACGCGTAAAACAGGTCCTTAATTGTTAAGAGAGGGAAACTACTAGTAGTTTCATCTTCCAGATGTTCATTTTCAGATTCTCTTTTGCGCAGATGCCTTATGTAGCACTTCGGAAAAATACTAACATCTTCACTTGAGCAGTATTTGCCAAGTTTAGTCAGCATATACAAAAGCCGTTTGTATTGTGGATTTCTTTTTTACATTTCTTGTACCTTTACATTGACGAGATTTCTGGAAGATACGATGGCAACCTTCACCATTGTTCTTCATTATGAGATGAATATTAACAAATGCAATGTAAGAACAAAACTCTGATGATATAAATAATATACTTAAAAATCGACAAGGATATTACAAACACTGCACTAAGATGTTTGTTTAGAATTTTGTTTATAGTTTGTTGATAGCTTGGTGTCTCTTCACAGTTCCTGTCACTGATCCATGTGTATTTACGATGGCATATATTTGTTGTGATTTTACTTGATATATCTGGAAAGTCGCTTCAAGACTCGAATGCTGGTGGCAAGACCAAACGGCCGGGGATACATTAGCATGGTTTAGAGTAATGCAGGCAACCATTATAACTCGAATTAGATTATGTGGTTCGAGTCAGTTGGATAGGAATCCTCAATAAATGTTAACTATATTACGTAGCGTAATCGTACGCATGAAGCCCAAGAAATGAGAGAACGGAATTCAATAACAAAGATTTGTAAGGGGCAGCGATTGCTCGTGGTTTGAAGTAGGGTTGTTTATCTAACTTTGTGAATTATTTTTCAATTATTAAAATTCGCTACATTTTAAGATTTAGAACTACATGTTTGCCAATCCTCACTTGTTGGACATCTCATTCATCAATCGTTACACCCACTCACACAGACAGAAACAATTAAGTCAAAATAAACAGATTTTAGTGGAATACATGAATGGTTTCTCTGTGTTGTTCTCGGATGGAAACCACATGCGAACAGAGCTCCGCCTAAATACGTCGGCATAGTGATTTGCGCTGCCAATTCCCCATTGCTCGTGGTGCGCCGCTCGATATTGATTACTTAGGGACGCTGGCCTCTTATTGGCCAATAATTCCGACGCACAATCTGACTTAATAGAGGCTTGGTCATTACCACGAGACGAGGTCCATGATTTTTATTATAGTTCTAAAGAGAGTAAGAAGTCAACGAGAAGACAGCCCATGCCTATATATCCTCTCTTACGGGAGACATTTATTCATTTACTGCTGACTACTTCAGATGAACGAAATCAGTCTTAGTTAAAAGAAAAAAACTAATAGACTGAATTCTGTCTTACTATCAGAACTACTTCGAACCAAAAAACCGACAGACTAGTTCTAGTACAAGTGACAGGTATCCGACATTTCTAAGAAGAAAAAAGACTTATTTCTTACTATGAAGGACAACGCATTTATCCTGACCATGGCGATCATGTTGTTCGTGTGTGTGTCTGAAGCCTGGCTGACCAGGTACAGTAACAGGGCGGCAGGCAAAGACTGGAAGGAAGTCCAATTGGAGGAGTTGGTAAGTCAAACTCAAAATTACACCAGTAGTAAGGTATACACGCGAGACTTTGTAACAATTACACCAGTAGTTATGTATACACGCGAGACTTTGTAACAATTACACCAAGAGTTATTATACACGCGAGACTTTGTAACAATTACACCAGTAGTTATGTATATACGCGAGACTTTGTAACAATTACACCAGTAGTTATGTTTACACGCGGGACTTTGTAACAATTACACCAGTAATAAGGTTTACACGCGAGACTTTGTAACAATTACACCAGTAGGTATGTATACACGCGAGACTTTGTAACAATAACACCAGTAGTAAGATTTATACGCGAGACTTTGTAACAATTACACCAGTAGTTATGTATACACGCGAGACTTTGTAACAATAACACCAGTAGTTAGGTATACACGCTAGACTTTGTAACAATTACACCAGTAGTCAGGTATACACTCGAGACTTTGTAACAATTACACCAGTAGTTAGGTTTACACGCGAGACTTTGTAGCAATTACAACAGTAGTTATGTATACACGCGACACTTTGTAACAATTACACCAGTAGTTATGTACACACGCGAGACTTTGTAACAATTACACCAGTAGTTATGTATACACGCGAGACTTTTTAACAATTACACCGGTAGTTAGGTTTACACGCTAGACTTTGTAACAAGTTTTTAGAAAGAATTTTTTGTATAGTAAAATAATTTTGTTTTGGTATCATGGTTTTGTTAGTTTAATAACGTTCGGGGGGCTGATCCCAGGGCTCCTCAACTCTGGCAGCCTTCAACAACCACTGAATATTCGCATATGCATATGTCAAAGATCTATGAAAATGAGAATATCAAAATGCCGAGGAATTAAAATTTGTATAAAAAAAAAATTAAACAAAAGTTTAATAACGTTTTGCTTATTAAAATGTATTTAAGCCGGTTTCATGAATTTGAAAGTTTTAGAATATTTTTTTGTCAGTACAAGACATAAAATGTTGATATCATATTTGTGTTACGCCAGTTCCCCTCACGGGGCATTTTTCAGTTAAATATTGATGTATTATAAACCACAGTATCAATTCTAAAAAGGTGCATTTTCATGAAAAGATACAACCATTCTTCTTCTTAAATACAAGTTTATATTTCTGGCGATAAATAGAACGCAAAATACTAAATGGTGTAACTGTGCCCTGAGAAGGACACTTTAAAATCTTAGCTAAGATTGGGCGATAAACGAGCATTATAAGCAGGCATTACACATAAGTCAAACATCTTAGACTTAAAGCAGGTTCTGATGAAATTCTTTCTCCAAACTAACATTAGCTTTGAAAAAAGACCTGAAAATTTTATCCATTTTCTTGTGTTGTATAAACGCCGACATTTGTATCATGCCAATAAGAGTGCCTTGTAGTTTTGTAGTCATAATCCAGTTCTCAAATTGATACTGACGTGATATTATATGGCCTCGACCAAGATTGACAAGGCGAGTGTCGTCGAAGAAGCCAGGATGGCTCTTTTCGAAACAGATGGTCTTGTTTCTTTAAAATAGTTCTGTTCATTCATCGCACATATCAATATTGTGATCGGCTACAGCTTGGCCATGTCACCTAACCATAACTAATTTTACATAAAAGTTATACTGTACCTGGTAGTCATCTTGATGTTTTACAAGATTTTCAAATATTTATAAGAAGGTTTCTATTATCAAGGGTACATTTAAACTTCATGAATATTTCAGTCGCAAAGCAAAGTTATATACTTGTTATGGTGGCTCTATACAAGAAGCACATTATCATTCATGTCAGTTTAGCGTTCAGTAAATGGTGATTAGTGGGCACCATTTGGAAGTCATTTTAGCGCTCAGACAATGGTGATTAGTGGGCACCATTTGGAAGTCAGTTTAGCGCTCAGTCAATGGGATTGCTCAGTCAATGGTGATTGGTGAGCACCATTTGGAAGTCATTTTAGCGCTCAGTCAATGGTGATTGGTGGGCTCCATTTTGAAGTCAGTTGAGCGCTCAGTCAATGGTGATTGGTGAGCACCATTTGGAAGTCAGTTAAGCGCTCAGTCCATGGGAATTGGTGGGCTCCATTTTGAAGTCAGTTTAGCGCTCAGTCAATGGTGATTGGTGAGCACCATTTGGAAGTCATTTTAGCGCTCAGTCAATGGGGATTGGTGGGCTCCATTTTGAAGTCAGTTTAGCGCTCAGTCAATGGTGATTGGTGAGCACCATTTGGAAGTCAGTTTAGCGCTCAGTCAATGGTGATTGTTGAGCACCATTTGGAAGTCATTTTAGCGCTCAGACAATGGTGATTAGTGGGCACCATTTGGAAGTCAGTTTAGCGCTCAGTCAATGGTGATTGGTGAGCACCATTTGGAAGTCATTTTAGCGCTCAGTCAATGGGGATTGGTGGGCTCCATTTTGAAGTCAGTTTAGCGCTCAGTCAATGGTGATTGGTGGGCACCATTTGGAAGTCAGTTTAGCGCTCAGTCAATGGTGATTGGTGAGCACCATTTGGAAGTCATTTTAGCGCTCAGTCAATGGTGATTGGTGGGCTCCATTTTGAAGTCAGTTTAGCGCTCAGTCAATGGTGATTGGTGAGCACCATTTGGAAGTCAGTTTAGCGCTCAGTCAATGGGGATTGGTGGGCTCCATTTTGAAGTCAGTTTAGCGCTCAGTCAATGGTGATTGGTGAGCACCATTTGGAAGTCAGTTTAGCGCTCAGTCAATGGGGATTGGTGGGCTCCATTTTGAAGTCAGTTTAGCGCTCAGTCAATGGTGATTGGTGAGCACCATTTGGAAGTCAGTTTAGCGCTCAGTCAATGGGGATTGGTGGGCTCCATTTGGAAGTCAGTTTAGCGCTCAGTCAATGGGGATTAGTGGGCACCATTTGGAAGTCAGTATAGCGTTCAGTCAATGAGGATTGGTGAGCACCATTTGGAAGTCAGTATAGCGTTCAGTCAATGGGGATTGGTGGGCACCATTTTGAAGTCAGTTTAGCGCTCAGTCAATGGTGATTGGTGAGCACCATTTGGAAGTCAGTTTAGCGCTCAGTCAATGGGGATTGGTGGGCACCATTTGGAAGTCAGTTTAGCGCTCGCTCAGTCAATGGTGATTTGTGATCACCATTCAGAAGTCAGTTTAGCGCTCAGTCGATGGTGCCTGGTGAGCACCATTTTGAAGTCAGTTTAGCGTTGCTCAGTCAATGGTGATTTGTGATCACCATTCAGAAGTCAGTTTAGCGCTCAGTCGATGGTGCCTGGTGAGCACCATTTTGAAGTCAGTTTAGCGTTGCTCAGTCAATGGTGATTTGTGATCACCATTCAGAAGTCAGTTTAGCGCTCAGTCGATGGTGCCTGGTGAGCACCATTTTGAAGTCAGTTTAGCGTTGCTCAGTCAATGGTGATTTGTGATCACCATTCGGAAGTCAATTTAGCGCTCAATCGATGGTGCCTGGTGAGCACCATTTGGAAGTCAGTTTAGCGCTCGCTCAGTCAATGGTGATTTGTGATCACTATTCAGAAGACAGTTAAGCGCTCTGTCGATGGTGCCTGGTGGCCACCATTTGGAAGTCAGTTTAGCGCTCAGTCAATGGTGATTAGTGGGCACCATTTGGAAGTCAGTTTAGCGCTCAGTCAATTGTGACTGGTGAGCACCATTTGGAAGTCAGTTTAGCGCTCAGTCAATGGTGATTCGTGGGCACCATTTGGAAGTCAGTTTAGCGCTCAGTCAATATTGATTGGTGGGCACCATTTGGAAGTCAGTTTAGCTCTCAGTCAATGGTGATTGGTGAGCACCATTTGGAAGTCAGTTTAGCGCTCAGTCAATATTGATTGGTGAGCACCATTTGGAAGTCAGTTTAGCGCTCAGTCAATGTTGATTGGTGGGCTCCATTTGGAAGTCAGTTTAGCGCTCAGTCAATGGTGATTGGTGAGCACCATTTGGAAGTCAGTTTAGCGCTCAGTTAATGGTGATTGGTGGGCACCATTTGGAAGTCAGTTAAGCGCTCAGTCAATGGGGATTGGTGGGCCCCATTTGGAAGTCAATATAGCGTTGAGTTAACAGGGATTGATGGGCCCCATTTGGAAGTCAGTTTAGCGCTCAGTTAATGGTGATTGGTGGCCACCATTTGGAAGTCAGTTTAGCGCTCAGTCAATATTGATTGGTGAGCACCATTTGGAAGTCAGTTTAGCGCTCGCTCAGTCAATGGTGATTTGTGATCACCATTCAGAAGTTAATTAAGCGCTCAGTCGATGGTGCCTGGTGAGCACCATTTTGAAGTCAGTTTAGCGTTGCTCAGTCAATGGTGATATGTGATCACCATTCAGAAGTCAATTAAGCGCTCAGTCGATGGTGCCTGGTGAGCACCATTTTGAAGTCAGTTTAGCGTTGCTCAGTCAATGGTGATATGTGATCACCATTCAGAAGTCAATTAAGCGCTCAGTCGATGGTGCCTGGTGAGCACCATTTTGAAGTCAGTTTAGCGTTGCTCAGTCAATGGGGATTTGTGATCACCATTCAGAAGTCAATTAAGCGCTCAGTCGATGGTGCCTGGTGAGCACCATTTGAAGTCAGTTTAGCGTTGCTCAGTCAATGGGGATTTGTGATCACCATTCAGAAGTCAATTAATCGCTCATTCGATGGTGCCTGGTGAGCACCATTTTGAAGTCAGTTTAGCGTTGCTCAGTCAATGGTGATTTGTGATCACCATTCAGAAGTCAATTAAGCGCTCATTCGATGGTGCCTGGTGAGCACCATTTGGAAGTTAGTTTAGCGCTCGCTCAGTCAATGATGATTTGTGATCACTATTCAGAAGACAGTTAAGCGCTCTGTCGATGGTGCCTGGTGGCCACCATTTGGAAGTCAGTTTAGCGCTCAGTCAATGGTGATTAGTGGGCACCATTTGGAAGTCAATATAGCGTTCAGTTGACGGGGATTGATGGGCCCCATTTGGAAGTCAGTTTAGCGCTCAGTCGATGGTGATTGGTGGGCACCATTTGGAAGTCAGTTTAGCGCTCAGTTAATGGTGATTGGTGGCCACCATTTGGAAGTCAGTTTAGCGCTCAGTTAATGGTGATTGGTGGCCACCATTTGGAAGTCAGTTTAGCGCTCAGTTAATGGTGATTGGTGGCCACCATTTGGAAGTCAGTATAGCGTTCAGTTAATGGGGATTGGTGGGCCCCATTTGGAAGTCAGTTTAGCGCTCAGTTAATGGTGATTGGTGGCCACCATTTGGAAGTCAGTTTAGCGCTCAGTCAATGGGGATTGGTGGGCACCATTTGGAAGTCAGTATAGCGTTCAGTCAATGGTGACTGGTGAGCAATATTCGGAAGTCATTAGAAGTTCACTTCCCACTTAAAGTAATCGCACAATTTTCCCATAATATGATCCATAATTGTGTCTAAACGCAAGTTCGATAACCAATAACAATGCATTGCTTTTTTTTTTTTATTAAATATGTCTTGGAACTCAATAATTAGAAATAGAAAATAAAAAGTGAAGGTATTAAAAATATAAGGATTTTACAGGGCAAACAATGTCTTAACTCAATATTCAGATCGGATCGATAGCGGCTCTGACAAGAAAACAATAATTGGACTATGGCTGTAGCGGATATTAGCCAATTTGTAACCCTGATAAATGGTCGTTATGCCTTACGCTTTACAAGGCAGCTACAACGGGTCGTTTATGAACCTAATACACACGGCTATAAGGGTTCAGGAAAAGAAACACATTTTGCATTCTCCTTTCGTATTTTCTGCATGAACACTTTACCGTACGTATGATGATCACGTTATTCTTGTGCTCATTTATAATTTCACACTTTTTAATAAGAGCACCAAATTATCGCCGACGTGCGTCGAATAATTTTCTACTTGCATGGATAAACAGACGAGGCGTGTGTAGAACATGCCTCTGTTCATTTTATACATCTGTAGTATCCGTCCTATAGAGTTCAGCACAATCCTTTCGTTTACCAATGTTTCTTTTTATGTTTCATGGGGGGAAAATGGCGAGTGCCACATGTATCATAAATGATATAGATATCGACAACGTTTCCTATGTTTTGTAACCAACGAGCCAGAAAAATGAAAATATGTGAATAAATATTGTCGGGAACACCCCCTCAATGTCATAGTTTTAAAAACTACCAGCACTTTTAAATGATTCATTGCAATTTATTTCTACCTTCTTTTCATATTCAGTTCTATGGTTAATAGTTAGTCCCGGTGATCAATCATTTGTTTTAATTGTTTGTCCTGATGTCCAGTCTTTGATGTTAATAACTGTTTAACTATTGAAACGGTGAGATACAAAAAGGAAGTCGTTTCTTATCGTACCATATGCACTACTAGAGTAGTAGATGACTTACGCTTTATTTCTAAATTTTTAGAATATAACTTTTTCAGAAAACAATAAATAAAAAAGGCTGTTAAAACACTATCACCCTCACAACCCGTCCATGTATCAACCATTGAAATTGCCGAGTTCAGAAATGATCACTGACCAATGTATCCTCTTGTTTGTGTATGCTGTTCGGTGTAAGTGTTGGACATATACTTCACTATGTTATGGCAATAGAGTGTGTTAGTATGTAAAATCAATAAGCTGTATCGCTTACGATAATAATCAACTGGAATTGGAATTAGTTTGTTCCGGAGTTCAATCAGCTATGTTCATAATATGGCCCAGTCATCAATCATTTCTGTTTGTTGTTCAATTTGACAGCAGTAATACATTTCACGGTCCTGCAATAGCAAAAAACACGAATATTGAAATGAAGTGTGATATTAGCTTATCAAATTTTCAATGCGTTTTATTTAACATAACTTGATAGTAACCTTGCATAAAAAGGTGAAATATATAATTCCTTTACTATATAGCTTGTATCAAGAGGTATTACATTTAGAGTATTGGATCAGTGTCAGAAAATGTACTTCAATATACAATTTCAATGTTGTATCAGGGGAATATCAAAAACAGAGACAGAAAGAGAAAGGAAAAAGATGTTTTTTTTATATGAGGATGTTACCTATAACAATGTACAGCGTTATACGTGGACCAGAATGATTTACTAAGTTTAAGGTAGTGTACTTCAGAGGACAAACTTCACCTTGTATCAGGAAGATAAACTAACAAATGACACATTATTCTTGTATAAGGAAGTTTATGTCACAGCGTACACTACTGAAACTTATTATGAGGATATATTTATTTATATATTACACTGTACAATATTTCTGTAGTAGATATATCAATTTAAACAGTATGTAACGTTGACATAAAGAATGCTTTGGAATGATTCATAGATAACTATTAAATCTAGACAATGAATTTTGGGGAAACCAACATGTTAGGAATATTTGAAAAGTTTCCTAATATAATAAAATCTTAATCATTAAGAAATTGTGCTGGTCTTGCCTTGTTATTGTGTCCCGTTTTGATCTTAAGGCGTAATTATGAAGTTTCCTCTTTTGTGCTGGTGATGAAGCGTTGTTATTCTTGGCCTAAGTGCTGATTTGCAGGTGTTGATACTGTTCCCTTTATGTTGTGTATAAGGTCACATGATTGTGCTCCTTTCTGCTGTATGTTGGGTGTAAGGTCACATTAGTGTGCTCCTTCCTGCTGTATGTTGGGTCTAAGGTCACATTAGTGTGCTCCCTCCTGCTGTATGTTGGGTGTAAGGTCACATAAGTGTGCTCCTTCCTGCTGTTTGTTGGGTCTAAGGTCACATTATTGTGCTCCTTCCTGCTGTATGTTGGGTCAAAGGTCACATTTGTGTGATCCTCCTGCTGTTTGTTGGGTCTAGTTAGTGTGCTCCCTCCTGCTGTTTGTTAGGTCTAGTTAGTGTGCTCCCCCCTGCTGTTTGTTGGGTCTAGTTAGTTTGCTCCTTCCTGCTGTTTGTTGGATCTAGTTAGTGTGCTCCCTCCTGCTGTTTGTTGGGTCTAGTTAGTGTGCCCTTTAAATGCTGGTTCACAGTTCTTGTTATTGCACTCCTTCTTCATTCTAGTCATATGGGTCCTGACATCTCCATTTAGTATAACGTCCATCGTCACATTCTACTTGTAGCACAAGCATGTTGAGCTGTTTCAATAAAAGTGTTTCCCGAGTAACTTAACATTACACCTTACATATGTAATAGGAATTGAAGGAGTAAGCTCGTTGTTCTTGGTGTATACCATGGGGTTCTAATTATTAATTAGCGCTAGTGATTTCATGTATCATACTTATATCGTCATTTTTTACTTACAGTGCAGTAAGACAGGAGAAGATTGTTTACAGTCATACTTATATCGTCATTGTTTACTTACAGTGCAGTAAGACAGGAGAAGATTGTTTACAGTCATACTTATATCGTCATTGTTTACTTACAGTGCAGTAAGACAGGAGAAGATTGTTTACAGTCAAATAACTGCTGCTCTGAGTCAGACGTCTGCTTGCTTGACAGAAAAACCTCCATTTTGTCCGGTAAGACTTGGGATGTCAGTATAACGACAGCTGACACTTTGTGACGGAACGCATCCGATCAATCAAGAAAGTAAATCTACATGTGTTACTTAGCTAGCTGAGCAAAAACAAATGATCAAATCATTGAAACAAAAGTATATAAAGTTATACACAAACACCTTTATAACCATAGTTCAATAACATAAATATTATACACATTCTTTTGATACATATTGGTTAATGGGCTTAAATAAATATAACGAAAGGATCCCATTTTGATCATTTTGCGGGTTTTGTAAAAGGTATACTTTTCCATGAATATCTGTAGTATATACATTTCTCCAGTAAATGCCTGTATATAAGGTACAGTTAGGACATTTTTTATGTAAGCTCAGACTTTGTTTTTTATTCCTATTGTTGAAACGTTTGTTATAGTATATGGCGTATGTCGGTGTCACATGAACGTTTCAATGCTGGTGTGATAGGACAACGATTAGATTACAGCATGATATAGAACGTCCCGGTAAACAATAGGAAGATATGAGAAAAGGCGGGGGCCACGAAGTGGATTGAGAAGAGCTAAATTTCCAAGCGTTTATGAATTTAAGTAAAACTTAGACGTCACATTTATAACAACATAGTCATGCTACATCCCACGTCACAACTGTACAACAGGTATCAATTGTTCAAAAAATGAAAACGAGTTAAACCAATAACACAGATATGTGTTTAGCTTTAATTAACACTGGAGAAATATTGGGAAATTCTCATTAATAACAGCAACATGTCACAATAATCCTGACGTTCTTTATTTCTCACTTTCTTACCTCCAGGAAGAAGAGTAGGATATTGCAGGGATATCAATATGTTCAAATTGACTGACCTCCCTATGAAGTATAAAGGTACGTGCCAAAATCATAACTCCTAGACATTTTGTAACTCCTCTGCTTGGTAGCCAGATGAAGGTCTCTGTATTGAGGATTGTGATGATTTCTTCCTCCATTGTTCCCTCTATAATATCTTAAGGAAAATTATCTTAAACTCCATTTCTGTTCTCAGCGATATCAATCCACTTAATATTCAGTTTTCATATGGATATCAAATATTGATATCAACACGATTAAAACATTTCTGAAGGTTGTTAAGACTTTTATCAAATGATAACTAATACATTTACTGCTTTCATAGATCTTTGTCATTTCGTTTGATGGTTGATGGAACCAGAACAGAATAGTGTTTTTGTATGACGAATCTGGGCTTGTGCACCAGGTGGCCGATATGTGTTTCATATTACTTGATAACTAATAATTCGTGGCCAATAACAAATACAAAGTCATTTGATGATATATATATCCTCTTCCTGTGATCATCTTTCTTTATTACAACATGATGGGTGTACAGTTTATTTTTTGAAGGAGAGGGCGTTCATATAAACTGTACTTGTTGCCCATTTCCTTTTGTAGTTTTAAATTATTCTGAAATGAAAAGGTCGATATATATTTGCTTTCTACCGATCGAGAAAAATTTAGTAGATTACATGACAAATCCGCCATCTTTATGATGTGTTTCTATTGTTTCTATAATAAATCAAGCGGAGAAATGTCTCTGTTCCTCTATACCGGTCAGCATAATCTTTGGAGCCAAAAGGGAATTATTTAATATCCCAAACAGAAAATAAATATACTAAACATAACGCTGAAGGTATATCGTAGAGATGTTTCTATCAATGTTTAATATACTAACTATAACGCTGAAGGTATATCGTAGAGATGTTTCTACCAATGTTTCATATACTAACTATAACGCTGAAGGTATGTCGTAGAGATGTTTCTATCAATGTTTAACTGCATTACATCTTTCGTTAATTACTCCTGGGCCTTCAGTAAAGGGCTATTCTGATTGAGTTTTGCATTATTGTAGGAGTGGAGTGTGACACCAGTGCTGAGTGTGACGACATGTGTTGTCGTATCATCCCCCGTCACATTTACGGCACCTCTCAAGAATGCGGGACCAAGGAGGGATTTATGTGTGTCTGAGACAGATTCCATGCTGTCTCTAGGAGTAATCAATTTTACTGGGTTTATTACAGCCAAACTTTTTAATTACGTACAAACATTAAAGTTTCAGTAACAATTATATTCGGAGACCATTCTAATGAAAATCGCTAGATGTACGTGAACATTACAGGGGTAATGGAATTGTTGAGAAGGAAATCCAATCTTTTGACCCTTTAGATGTGCTCTTTATAACTCCATATCTGTTATCATTATATACCCTTTATTTATCATGTGTTTACTATTCATTCCTTATCTCTGATTCTTGTACATCCTTGTACATCATATACACCCCTTACTTGTAAGTATTGTGCGATCCTTACCTGTATTTATTATTCATCCTTTACCTGTTATCACAATCACCCCATACCTGTAATTGTTATCACTCCTTAACTGTAAGTATTGTTACACCTAACCTGAAGTCAGCATCACCTCTTACCTGTAGTTGTTGACACCCATCCCTGTAATCATTATAACTCATTACCTGTGATAATTGTACACCTTCCATTCCTATGCTCGTTTTAAATGGACTAAAACTTTGTTTTATTTGTTTTATACATTAGATCCCAGAGGAATCGATGCTAATATGCATCAAGCTAATGGCCTAGACATTCTACAAAAAGTGGGACTATTAAACCTGGTTTTGTTGACGTATTTGTCCTGCTAAACTTTGATATTATAAAGGGGTATGGTAATATACCGAGAACGACCGATTCTTACAGGCAACGTAAATAAGGAAACATTGGAAATATTTGTGATGAGATGACAAACGAGTGTTTTTAAATCGAGCATCTTTGTCAACCAATGAAACATATTGTTTCTTACTGAATATAATTGTATTTATGTCTTCATTAACCCCTTTCATTGATTAAATTGTACATTAACTTTAAAACACGTACCGTTGTACTTCATTCTTTGTTTCCAGTAAGTTGACGATAACTAAAACGATGCTGCATACAATTTAAAAGAACAAAAAATAATCACTGTGAATTATAAAAATCATACATTTAAGTCCATTTTGAAGAAAGCATATCGTTTCATGAATTCAAAACTATCTTAAAATTACTAGTTTAATGCACTTTTCTCGTTAAGTTGGAATTGATCACCCAGATGGTTTTAAACATATTTTAACGTCCATAACTGTAACTGTTTTGTTGCATTATGCTGTAAACCTCGAATTGTACACGTTTAAGTGATGTTGTTTTTGGCTAGAAATCTGTATCTGGTGATTTTCGCAATACCTTTATACAGACGACACAAAGGACATTGCCATGCCGCATGGTAAAGCTCCATAACGTTAACCGACTCAAGTATTGGTTTTACAATCACAGAAACGCTTCAATCCTGAGTTGAAAGAGGAATGAACATTTCTAAGGTTTTAAGTCAAAGCAATGAACACCAAAACTACCCTCAACCGACAACTCTATAAATCCAACAAGGTGTTTTCAATTCCTTAGTAACGTTTTTCCTACACTCAACTCAATATTTTATTCATTAGTATTTTTATTGCTAAAACATGTATTTCAAACTTTGACACATCTATCTTTGGGTCAGTATTTTGTAATAAAGAATATAAGTAGAAAAAGTATATTGCGAAGCGTTTGATCCTTGTGTATAACCTGCTTTCTAATTTGTGATATTTATAATTTTCAACAAATAGAAATAAAGATATTTGCGATCGGTCCCCATTACCCATAATAACGTTTTGGCCAAATAGCAGGTGTTTGGAATAAATATCCGACAACATTTGTTGTCTCACAACAATTATGAAACATGTTATTCCAATGTATACTCATCGAATCCCGGCCGCCTCGGTGAAAGGCATGTTCGCTATACCTTGCACCACCCGACGACCAATTATGACCTAAAGACTGCGGACAATTACACTCTAGCTTTCTGAAAAGATTCCGAAAATCCTTTAAATTTATCCTCTGCAACTAAATGTAATAGGAAGTATGTCGGAAAGTAACGGTTGAGCAGTTATAAATGCGCAGTTTGTTTAGAACACAAACAGTAATTGAAAACTTATTTTGAGAGCTTTCAAAAACGTCTGTTTCCTTTGTAAATCCAAATCATACTTTTGCAATCATTCTCATCCGAATACTAGATTTAGGAACTTCTTGGACATTTCTTTCTATAGTAGTTATATTCTATTCTGATATCTCTTTTTTATGAGCTTTTGGCTTTTTGATTCGCTACTCGAGAGAATGTTGTAATAATATCGATATATTACATATTTCCCCCTCAGTTTGATGGCCTGTCCACTCCCAGTTTTATGCTCACACAATCGTGTAAACCATAACGCAATGACAACGTTCCTCCATTAACAATGACGTATACATTATAACTGCAGATGGGCCCGTTTGGAGCTTACCGTCGTTAAGGCGACTGGAAGTGATGAATAGAGTAATTGCTATGATTTTCTTAAGTTGTTTTTTTGATCACGTGACCAAATTTGCATTTTTATATCAGGAAAGAGGAATTTAAAATAGCACATGATTAGCGTTGGCATTTGTTGAGAGTGCAATCAGTCATGATGACTACACAAATAGACGCAACCCTAGCTAGCACTGAAGATAGCATTTATTTAAATTTATTGAAAAATTGATCCGACATTATGATGAAATGTTATTTTAATCCAAAAGGCATGTTCAGTTATAGGTTATCGCCTTGCTCATCTTGTTTGTTTCTTGTTTTCACTGACAAATATTTTATAAAAGCATGTATGAATATTCATTCTAATGTTCCGTTGGATGGAAAAAAAAGAATCAGAATATTTTGTGACTCACTCGACAATCTCTCCTCAATTAACTGTCCATTATTCAATAAAGAAAGCTCTTATATAAACAGTTGAATACGTTTAATAAACTATCCCTAATGTAATGTTAGTTACAATAAATTATGTTCTAAACAGTAAATGTATAGTTAAATACAAGCATAATACTTGAGTGATCGAATTCATCGATCAAAGATTATGTTTGAAGTTGATCACATGTAGAGCTTTTTAAACAATGCATAAAATTGAAAACAACATAAACATCGTCAACGAGAAAATATTGAACTTGCATTTCGGATTCGTATGTATTCAACCTTTACAACACACAATGATTCTTGGGAAATTACAGCATGGCTTGAATTGACTTGGTTTTCATGATATAAAAACGATTGATTTTTTCAAAAATTAATTATTTGTTCTGATTATTATATTTTTTAACACAAACAGATGTCATGAAGTAATTAACTTAACATATCATCCTAAATGTACCAAATATAAAAATCATGATTTACATGGTGAAAAGGACAAGTAAAACTTTTCATTGTAATTATCAATAGCAATCAAATTTACATTGTAAAGTAGAACATTGTAAATATCAATACCACGCAAAGTTTACTTAGTGAAAATTAACACCAGCCAAAGACAAAATTAACACTGTAGAAACCAACAACAACGTTAACGATGGAGAAACCAACACCAGTCTGAGTTCAATATTAGAATCAAGCATGTTTTTGTAGTTTCCCTAATGTCATAGTTAGGTACACACAGAGATTAGGCCCCTGCTTCCTGACTGATTTTCTTTATTACAAAGTTGAATTCATTAAATACAAATAAATATTTATTCAATGTAGCGATGATTATTTCATTATATAGAGCGTTTATAATAATTATATAGAGGGTTTATAATCATTATACAGAGGGTTTATAATAATTATATAGAGGGTTTATAATCATTATATAGAGGGTTTATAATTATTGTATAAAAGGTTTATAATCATTATACAGAGGGTTTATAATCATTGTATAAAGGGTTTATAATCATTATACAGAGGGTTTATAATAATTATATAAAGAGTTTATAATCATTATATAGAGGGTTTATAATCATTATATAGAGGGTTTATAATTATTGTATAAAAGGTTTATAATTATTATACAGAGGGTTTATAATCATTGGATAAAGGGTTTATAATCATTATACAAAGGGTTTATAATATTTATATAAAGGGTTTATAATCATTATATAGAGGGTTTATAATCATTATATAGAGGGTTTATAATCATTAAATAGAGGGTTTATAAACATTATACAGAGGGTTTATAATCATTGTATAAAGGGTTTAAAATCATTATACAGAGGGTTTATAATCATTGTATAAAGGGTTTATAATCATTATATAGAGGGTTTATAATCATTATATAAAGGGTTTATAATCATTATACAAAGGGTTTATAATATTTATATAAAGAGTTTATAATCATTATATAGAGGGTTTACAATCATTATACAGAGGGTTTATAATAATTATATAGAGGGTTTTTAATCATTATATAGAGGGTTTATAATCGTTATATAGAGGGTTTATAATCATTAATTAGAGGGTTTATAAACATTATACAGAGGGTTTATAATCATTATATAGAGGGTTTAAAATCATTATACAGAGGGTTTATAATAATTATATAGAGGGTTTTTAATCATTATATAGAGGGTTTATAACCATTATATAGAGGGTTTATAATCATTGTATAAAGGGTTTATAATCATTATATAGAGGGTTCATAATCATTATATAGAGGGTTTATAATCATTTTACAGAGGGTACAAAATAATTATATAGAGGGTTTATAATCATTGTATAAAGGGTTTATAATCATTATATAGAGGGTTTTTAGTCATTATATAGAGGGTTTATAAACATTATATAGAGGGTTTATAATCATCGTATAGAAAGTTTATAATAATTATGTAGAGGGTTTATAATCATTATATAGAGGGTTTACAATCATTATACAGAGGGTTTATAATAATTATATAGAGGGTTTATAATAATTATATAGAGGGTTTATAATCATTATATAGAGGGTTTATAATCATTTTACAGAGGGTACAAAATAATTATATAGAGGGTTTATAATCATTATATAGAGGGTTTATAATCATTATACAGAGGGTTTATAATCATTATATAGAGGGTTTATAATCATTATATAAAGGGTTTATAATCATTATACGGAGGGTTTATAATCATTATATAAAGGGTTTATAATCATTATACGGAGGGTTTATAATCATTATACAGAGGGTTTATAATCATGATATAGAGGGTTTATAATAATTATATAAAGGGTTTATAATCATTATACGGAGGGTTTATAATCATTATATAAAGGGTTTATATTCATTATACAGAGGGTTTATAATCAGATGTTTTATTCTGTTCACCTTGTTTTGTTGTCGGACTAGACATATTCATTTTCTCATTTTTTCAAATAAAAAGAGGCAAAAAGCAAACAAATTATTATGTATGGTACGAGTAAAGATGAATTGAATCCCATCCTTTGATGAAAACTGATATTTGAAAGACGTTAACGTGTTCATTACGAGAATGTCACCGCCATGTTTCAATACGAAGCGAGACGCCCACATTTAGAGATCTTGTCATTAGCTTGTTCTCCTGTCCAACCTCTACCAACACGAACACCAATTAGTCGATGCCTCCATTGGCATTTATAGTAAAACATCACATACATAATCAATTATTTCTTTCAACTTACAAATGATAACAGTCATATCTGACCGATTACACACAGACTGGGCCAAATCATCGAACCGTTATTACACAGCGCTCTTATTATAGACTTCGTTTACTTTGATAAGACTAATCAGTTCACGGAACAATTTGCACCGGCGACGATAAGTATCCCTGTCTTTAACGAGGTGGCAATCCCACACAGTCGATGCTATCCGTGAGGTAACAAATGACTTCATTACATCTTGTATATGAAAGATATCAGCAAAACATTGCGAACTCCGACGATCATGTCGTAATAATGAAGTCAGGATTGCTATCAGTTCCAGACGATGGAGATGAATCTTTAATCTTTTTAATTCAACATTATCTTGTTGTGTGTTGGTGTTCCTTGTGAT